CAGCAGTAAATTACCTGCCGAAATGTTATCACAGAAGTCAATGCCTATTTTCTGAAACTCACGCCAAAATTTGCTATCTTGCTATTGCGGTCAGATCGTTGGGGCTATGTAATCCGCACTGAGAAACGTTGCTGATTGTGAGGCCTTCGTCTTCTCTACCTGAGCCGCTGGTTTTCTCTGAAAAATGATGGATGAACAACCTCACTTCGTAACGCTATGCTGTATAAAGTCCCGTTAGGGCACAACCCAGTCGATGCAATTACGATTACAACGTGAAAGAGAACATGGCTCAGTAAGGTCATCAGCCTAGGATATGGGTCGGCTAGCCTCTGACAAACACTCTCGGCTGTTCTGAAAATTTGGTGAACAGCAGTCTTCATTCCCTCGCAAAAGCTCCAAAGTTTGGCAAGTGGATTTCTAATGAATTGACCAGCGCTCATGAAGAAACTGGAGTACTGTGAACAACTTCTCTCACGCTTCCGCCGAACGCACTTTGTTGTCCAACGCCGCCGGTCGGACAACAAAGTCACTGGAGATGAGAAGTAATGGTTTTGCGTGGATTACATGTGGAGACATCCGTGACTGAATTTATCAGAATGGGCCGAATCGGCTCTAAGATCAGTAAAACGATCGTGCTGTGCGTCTGGTGTGGTGTTCGCTAAGTATATCTCAGGCAGCTCCTTCCTCCCAACGCCACTGCTATGCCACTGGACGAGGCCTACTGACGTTATGTATGCTATGGGAGGAATAGAGTTAAAGACGTGACAGAACCTTGAAATCCTGGCTATCTTGGAGTTTTTTCAAAGATGTTTTGGAGTAATGAACATTCCCTCTTTGCTATTTTACCTTCATACCGTTTTCTAAATGTCCTATGTTGATTTCAGGATCGAATTTGAGTCTCAGTTCACTGGTCCAGTTTTATGGTGAAGGTCCAAACAATGGTAGGAGCTGCACTTTCCCTGAACATTTGTTCCCTATCATCAAATCACAGTCGAATAATAGTCAGGGGTTTCAGATTCTTTGAAACATGTATTTCTACTCACTACAAACGCTCTTAATAAGCTGACGCTCAATATGTCAAACTATACCCTGCCAGTGAATGGTGGACTGCTTCCCGATAGCAGTAGTTGTCCAGCTGATTGCTTAACGAGCTTAACAGCGTATATGAACGAGAAAGAAAGTGAGTTGATTTCTTGTTTTAAATCAGAGACTTTCCGTTTTTTGCCTGAGGCCCTGCTTTTGCTATAGAAGTTTCCTTTGCTGGAGAGCCGGTAGAGCTTCAGGCACTAATGCCTGTATCACAACAAAGAACGTATCAAAGGAGATGAAATTCTTGATCTGAGCTCCATCCCTCACGAATATGGCCAGTGGCTGTGCTGGATTATGATTTTATACAAAACGTTCGGGAACGCTCCGCTCACCGCGGATGAGTCTCCGTCTGATTTGCTGACCCAATCCTAAATATTGTTCTGTGCTCTTCTGATAAGAAATGACGTTCATCCCATTGTATCCCCCCACCATTTCGATACATTTTTCGCCCAATGTTAACAGGGTTTTCCTGGGCTCATATATGTATGTTCTGCTGGTCTTGGTCGTGGCTACAACCATCCCAAGCTTGACCCAGCCTCTTCAGGTGCTTCTTTAGGTGATACCAAAATTCGTGACAGACAGACAGACAGACGCGAACGCGTTTTGTAGTAAGGATTGCTATGGCTTTACCTTCAGAATCCCCGTTAACGGAGCTTGAGGTTGACCTTTTCTACATAATGTGCAAGCCTAAAGGCGAAGCTTCGCTGAGTTGCTTCGAGTGATCAACTTACTAGAAAGTACCGCTCACTTAAAGGACGCAGTGCCCGCCATGATTGAGTCTCCTTCATTTGTTAACCCATCCCTCACCTTTGTTCATTTTCTAACAACGCCAGAGCTGTTTCCTGTGCACATCCCCCCCCCCCCCCCTCCCCCCCGTGCCGAGCTCCGTTGAGCTCATATGTGTCATTTCGATCTTTCCCTAGGCCTAACACATTCCAAAATTGACCCAAGCTCTCCAAGCGCTTCTTCATGTAATGCCGCAATTTGTGACGGACTTCAGTCGAGATGGCTACAGCCGCGAAAACGTCATATATAGTAAAGATACTGGACGTCGCAGATGTTTAACTTGAATCTTTTTCCCTCCCTCCGTTCTCCATCTGCAATCCGTTTGAGCCATTTGGCAATATTTCAGAGACTGTGGTAATGTTGCGTCCGACAGATGTGGTAAACTTTCCCGGCTTTTCTATTATGGGTATTGATGCGATATACTGCACAACAAACGAAGGATACTGTGGAGCAAATGTGCCTGTCTACCTCTATCATTCCGCTACAGACAAAGGTTCGACGAGCCTCTATTAGCTGCCTTGCAGCATCGAATAGCTAGAATCTTGTTCACTAAAATTACATGTATACTGTTTGCTCCAATCGCTCATTCGTTTCTCTCTGGGGATATTCAGGGTGTCAGGGGTACGAGGGCTGATGGAGTCACATGTCACTTGAACCTTTTGGCCCACACTTCCATTGGCCACCAGTTTTCAATCTAGAGCTACTTGCGTGCTGGAAAAAAACTGATTACCTACCGTGTTGCTCTTGTTGAACTGTTTTCTCGCGCACTTTCACAGTGATTTTGACAGAGGGCAGGGGGCTCGAAATTTGATTTGTTCAGCGATGTCTTGTTGTGAAAAGGCTCTAATCGGTTTGCACTGCCACCCTTATTCCCTCCTGAATCGTGTTTGCGCCACAACAATGATTATTCGCTAGCATTACAATCGTAGCGGTCAATACTGAGCTGCATGGAATCATAAACAAGTGGTCTGGTGAAGTGACATAAGTTTCATTACCGTGCAACATTTTAGACTACTACATTGGACTTGCATCTGAGAATCGCTCAAATTATGCTGTCCAGAATTCGGGGAAGCCACATTGTTTTATGTGGTCGAATGTCAAGTAAGTGTTACGGTATTCATCAATATTCAGGCTGATGCTGAAAGAAGGACTCACAAGAGAAGGGGTTCTTCTTGGCAGTGGGCATCGCTGTACTGTTTCTGAACGCTGATCTCGGAGCTGCATTCCAAATCTGCGAATCTTTAGATCTTTAGATCAAATCTTTAGGAACATAACTAGTATGGAACCATTTTCTCTCGGTTGTAGGGGTTTCTGTAGAACGGACCACCTTGCCGAGACGTCTCACCGATCGGCATCGATGGCTCAGGACTGTATTTACAGGCGTGGCATGAAGATTGCCCCCATTGACACATGAGCTCGTTTTGCTTTTTCACAAGCTGTATGCTGAACGCTTGTAACACGTTTCATGCCTCCTACCGACTATTCACAGCTCTCACTCACCCTTAGTGAGCACTACAACGGGTCTTCTGGGAAAGGCACCGTCTTGTTTTCTGACCTCCTAGACATAGCAGCACAAGTGAGGATTCGAGTCTTCTTCGAGACTACGCGTTTTCCCGACACATCGCATTTCTCCCACATCCTTGTGAGATTTCTGCATCGCGTCGAACATATTTTGAACTGCTGTTCTTCTGAACTGCGCCGCAATCATCTATTTCGAAAAACTTGATGTCAAAATGTGTTTTGTAACGTTTTGTGTACACTTTATTAAAAAGCAAGACAAGCACATGCGTTAAAGGCACAGTTCACGANGATTCTGTGGTACCCTTTTATTCAAACGAAAAGCAGAGCAGAGAGTATAGATCGGAAATAGTTCAATGGTGGTGACGGAAGCGAGAAAATTCGCCGATCCCGAAGAAAATAAAGCTCCTCAAAAGTAGGAAAAACAGAGGTTGGACGAGATTACCATGACGGAAATAATATGGTTGGGAATTCGGACGAGATTTCGGATGTTGTGTGTGCAAAGAGCTATCTACATCAAGCCTAAACTCTACAGAACTGCCTTCCGTTGCCGCTATAGGTCATGGCAATTGTTTGTATTTCCTATATGGGTTCCCTTGTGATCTGTGCAGCCTCTTCAATGCCGGTGAAACACGTCCGAGGATACACACGAGACAATCTTTGAGCCTTTATAACGCCCTAACTGGGCCGTTCCCCGACATGATATACAGCGCCAGATATGGTAAAAGAGGGGTCTCAAATTCATCCTATGGAGAGATTTCAGAAACCATTTTTATCGTGAACTGTGCCTTTGAGGTGCAAACCATGATGCATGATGCAACGCCATACGGTTTACCTTTCTACCACTTACGCCATCGCCATCACAGTTAACTACACAACAGTTTCAATGCGATGGTTCTACATTTCGTTTTTTTCTTCCCATTAAGTTGAGAGGCAGTAGTTTTGCACTGATGTAACAGCGCCCTTGAGTGGTCACTCGGGTTACTGTATCACATATTCGTCTGTCTGCGAATCGGTCTTTTCTTAACTGCCATACGAAACGGCCCCTAAATTTCTTAGATGAAGACATTTCTGTAGATGTGACTATAATCGTTTCGTTGATATGAAAGACGGATTCGGGAGCATCGTTCGAAACATACGGCGGTTTATAGTTGACACCGGATGGCCACTGCTACCTGGTATCCTACCCTTGCGAGTAGTTTGTCCTGAAAGCAATTTACTGAGACTTTTGGGAACTATCTAGAATTTATTTGCAAATTGTTATTACCTCTCTGCACTTTCAGTTACACAACGACGCCATCTTATACTAACCAGACCACCACCACAACTTCAGAAAATGTGACCTCACTCCCAGCCATCGGTAACAGCACGGCTTCAACATCTGTTGCCGCTAACTTCTCTGGGATTTCTTCAAATACTACAACGACCACCACAACTACAACAACATCCTTAGCGCCGATCACATCCAACAGTACTGTGGATATCAACAACAGCACGACTACCTATTTTTGGAACTCGACGGAAAGAAGTAAAGATGAGTTTGTTAGAATTCCTGTGTATACTTCTACTCGATACTGAAATCTTCCTACTGATCTCACCATCAGTCCACTATTTCGAGTTTCCTATTATCAAGTACTTGGTGCAAGCTGGAGCATGCGCTACGTACATGCGATTGATATGCTAATTGCTCAATAACTCGGAGTTGCTCGGGGAAATTTCGGGTGGTTACAAATCAGATAGTCACAGATGCTAAAACGTATTTCAGTACTATAGCTTGAAAATATTTTTAAAAGCAGTGGGATGTGCGAAACAAATAAGTAAGCAGTTGTCTTAAAAAATCGTCATAGCCACAATTTTTCCCACTCTTGTATGTCACTCCTTGATTCGCGTCCGCTTGGGTGTGGTGCGTTAGGAACGAAATGGCCGCGTCGCGGTGAGAGGGGCGCCGCGCGCGAAGGAATGTAGCAGGATGCGGCAGTAGGTAAGAAATACAAGAATAAAAGTACTACTAGTAGAATTATGCATAAAATAATGATCGCATATCAGTTGAGCTGTATGAAGAACGCGAGAACTGTAATAACGGCGAATGAGTGGTCCGCGACAGCCGCGTGCGGCGAATCGATTACCCAAAATCGTTCTTAACGCCCGTCTCCCCGTCCGCTTTCCATCACCCCAAGTCTCGCAAAACAGACGATTAGCCGATTATGGTGGAGATGAACAAATTGTTACAATTAATTTCTGTAATTTTTAGGCAAGAGAAGCAGACTAAGAAGGTCCTCCAGATTCTGGCCTATTGCTCTCGCTGGCGTTGTCTTGCTTGGAGCCGTGGTGCTCACTGTGGTGAGTCGGAACTTTGTTCGCTTCCCGGAAACGTTTGCCAGCATCGTGTCCGAAGCTGTGGTCATTTGTTAGTAATCCCTGCAACAGCTGTATGTGATATGATTTCTGGTAGAGGAGTTTGAACTTCCCCGCTCATTCGTGTTCATCGATACACATCGATGCTCTGATAACTTGACCGATAAGGTGAATCGTCACTGTGTCGGTTGTGGGGAACGGAAAACCCCGGCAAGTGATACAGATACAGTAGCGCTCAAAAGTCTTCGGTGAAATGGTTTTTCAGACGTACTTCTCAATCGTAACTCCCTTCCTACTGGATCTAATCATGTGAAATTTCTATATTTGGAGCGTGGGTGTATTGTGAATATTTACCACTATTAACTTGCAATCTGATCATATTCCAGATATTCCAAAGAGCATGAATTCAAAATCGACCGAAAATACAGATGATTGTCCTTCTAAAATCTCTTTCCTTTCTGTCATGTCTAAAGTGTACGAGCGGTAATGCCGAACACAATAGATGAGAAAAACGCATGTACGGTGCGAATAAGTGCAGACGTCAACAACTTCAGTTTTAGCAAAATCTGCTACCGCAACAAACACCATGCTCTATCTATGGACATTGCAGCTTCGCGATCAAATAATGTTGGGTAGGGTAAAATATGCTCTAGTTAAACATATCCAAATTCGGCGCGATTTGGTTTACTAACAAAAAAGTTACGAACGGAAAAGCGTCGAAGCATTTCACCGAAGACTTTTGAGCGCTACTGTATATTCTTTCGCGTCTTGTAACGTGTTTGTGTGCCTTATGGTTTTTTTTTTTTGGAAGATCAGTGACCACTACGGCGTACCACACAGATAATAAGTATTAACTCACCACTCATCGCCATTTGGGAAAATAGATTTTTAGAGTAGAATATGGGCTCGGTAATAGCTTAAGCATGCTTGAAGGTGTGTATGTGTTGAACATGCATAACGCACAGGTAGAGCCCATGAAACGGTTTATATCATAGCTGAAGAACTCGAAAATGCACTTTTTCATCCAATCAATCCATCAATCAAATTTTTCATGTAATACTATATGGAACACATTCATCCAAGGACTAATGACTCGTTTGGGGTGTATGTCGTTTGGCGCGATCCCTCCCATCGCGCCACCCATTCGACGCGGTTTGCGAGCTGGACAGCTCGTCTAAGCATCATGAAAAGCCAAATAGACCATGTAGACAGGCAGAATACGAGTGGGTCCGCGATTCGTCGTCTATCAGTAGCGGCGTCATCGGCCGGGCTTGTATCAGCTGGAGAGGCAATGGGTTGCCCGATTACTTGGACGAGTTGCACAGCTCAAACTGCGTCGAATGGGCGGCGCGATGGGAGGAATCGCGCCAAACGACCGCCTCCCCTCAGTTGTAATCACTCGTTACTTTGCACATTCTTACTCAGGGTGAAGTAATGGGAGGTGGAAGAGGAAAAATAGGAGGACGGAGGAAATCATCAGTTTCATTTCTCGTTTTCTTCCTTTCTTCTTTAATGCGTATTTCAGCTGGCCTTATCATCTTTGCGTATCATCAGAGGGAATAAAGACCGAGTGATTCCACAGAAGACATCGACAAGTCCGCCACCACCTTACAATCCTTACAACCAC